TGTGCAACGCATCCTAGCAATCAATTTAGGAGAAGATGTGAGTATAGTTTAAATGACTGCCCGAAAATGAGAGCATGTAGTTAGCATGAAAATCACTAGAGATCGCTAGTAATTGGACTGCCATTTTGATCTCCAGACACTCCTACCTGGGACCACCTGGTTTAGTTGCCGCTGTTGGGGATAGATAGCACTTGATGCTGGAATGCAATACACTGGCTTAATAATACAGTGCGGCGGCCATATTGGGTCGGCGGGAAACTAATATTTGAATAGTCTCTCTTTTTTATTTCAATTTAAAAAGTAATTATTGCAACAAACTATTAACTAGATTTGTTTGGGAGATAGTTGGGCAAGTTGAACGAAGCATATGAATCACTTATATCACGCGAACATGAATAATAAAATCAAAGAACAATATTTGTTTTTTTTCTATTTAACTTCTTATAAAATATATTCCAATAAACTTCTGCATATTTCGATTTCCATTTTATTCATCTTACTCTCTCATTGGCAAATTTCACAAACAAATTTATTTAATTATTAAAACATTAAAAAAAATGAGTGAAAATTAACTTTCATGGATAACCAGAAACTCAATTCTAAGTCAGCAACTATGAAACTATTTTTATTTTTCTTCTTAATATTCTCCTTTGAAAAAAACAAAACTTTAAATAAATGTAAATTATTTAATGAAAATTTATTAAATATAAATTATTTAATGTAAATTTAATAAATATAAATTATTTAATAAAAATTTAATAAATATAAATTATTTAATGTAAATTTTATAAATATAGTTTATTTATTTTCACTTTGTTACTTGTGAATGAACACCCTAAATGGTGTTGCCCAAATGCAACACCAAGATAAGTCTTGGTCTTGCACACTGGTCTTTTGCAAGCTTCGCAACAGTTTTGCAGTTACCTATTAGCTTATTATTATAGAGATATTATTGTAATTTTTCAGATATATGAAACCTAACTAAGCCGAAATGAAAAATTGAGAGTTAAATTCCAATGGATATTGGTTATATCAATTCTATACACATAGTAATTGAAATTGTCAAGTTTTATTGACTATTTTACCTTAATTTTTATTCATATAAAGGATCTTTTTTTTTCCATGTCTTGGTCTTGGTCTTGCAACAGTTAGGCGGCCTTAGTCTTGGTGTGTATGTAAAATGTGTCTTAGTGCATGACCAAGACAGATTTTGGGCAACACTAACTATTATAAATCTATTCTTATTAAAAATTTAAATAGTTCAAAATTTGGTCCTCGATTAATAGGATCATTTCTGATCATTGATAATAAAATATTTTTTATGAAATGGTTTACTTCTTACCATAATGTAGGTTTGTATATTGCATCAGAAGTAGGAAAAAATTGCTCATTTAACATTCAAACCTGGTAGGAGAGTATTTGTTTTGGTGTAGTAAAACTTAGTTTTTGTATAATTTGAAAATTTCTATTTACCAGTTTCTATTTATCAACATACCTGTTATCAATGAAGTGGAATAATAATCATAATATGATAAATTGTAATAATGTTCGTCACGTCTGAATTTTCCATTAGTAGTGAATCTAAGCTTTCCCTTGTTTTATTTATTTGTCATAACTTTTTTTAGGAAATTAGGGATTGTTGGCTTTTTAATATATTTTAAATTTTATCACACAGGATATACCAAGAAAAAAAAACTAATAGTGAAGTGTAAAACTGCAAGGATAAAATACAATCAATTATCAATTGATTGAAGAACTGTCCAATTTAACTTGAAAAAGAAAACATTTTTAATGAACAAAGGAATATAATATATATATATATATATATATATATATATATATATATATATTTCTTTATTTACAAAGGAAATTAAATTTATAAATGCTGCACATATACATTTGTAGATTTACTGCTAAAAACAGACAAATGAAGGAAATTCTTTTTAATAATTGAATTTATTTTAAGTCTAAATACAATAAACCTCTTGAATACTATCTTTAATATTGTGACAATTAATTATATGTTCAGCATCAACAGAACTCTTTTTTTTTTTTTCTATGAGAAATATGCTTAAATCACCTCTTACTGAGTTGATTTTGGCTCATATAGGTTTCTAAAATGACGTAAGGTATTTTTTTTCTTTATTTTATTGATTTTCCTTTTTAATTCAGTGGTTATGAAAGAAAAAGATGGAAATTAAATTTGAAACTTGGTTATAGAAAATAATTTCTATAATTTGAGGCTACTTTATTTTTATTTTGAAGTCAGTGGTTGCAGCTATAAAATTGAAATTTGGTTTTCCTTTATAATTATTGTTACTTTCAATCTTAAAAATATGAGTGTAGTTGATGATCCTTAAATGATAGTTGAATTGAGTATAGTTCATGATCCTTAAATGATAGTTGAACCATCCTGAATAAAGATTAACGGTTTTAGAATTTCAATTATAAGAAAAACTAAGGAAAATAATATTTCATTTCAGAACTTTGTATTTTGCAGCACAGCAATCTATTTCTTAAAAATTAATCATGATTGAGTATCATATCACTTATTCTGGCATAAAAGAAAACTACTTTTAGTTACTCGAGATCTCAATAAAGCTAAAGAGCATCAACTATACTCATATTTTAATGATGAAAGTAACAATAACTATAAAGGAAAACCAAATTTCAATTTTAACTTAAAGATAAAAATTGTGTTAGCTAGTAGCCTCAAACTATAGACACTATCTTCATACAACAAAGTTTCAAACTTGATTCCCATCTTTTTCTTTGATTACCACTGAGTTAAAAAGGAAAATTAATAAAATAAAGTAAAGAATTAAAGTATACACACGATTTTAACTCAATGAAGATGAAACCAAACTTACCACTTTAAACACTGATATGTATAACTATTAAATAAAAACCACCTGTTAATAAAATGAATCTATTAGTAAAACAACACAATTAAGCTTTTAAACAAAATATCACTAATAAAATAAGAGTCTGTGAAGATGAAACCTTTCACTGAAGATGAAACCAAACTTATCACTTTAATCACTAAAACGTATAACAATTCAATAAAAACTACCTATTAATAAACTGAATCTATCCGTAAAACAATCAAATTAAACTTATAAACTAAAATAATGCTAATAAAATAAGAAAATTTAACAGTTCTGAGGTGGCTAAAGAGCAAGCAGGTAGCAAGGGACGACCCAAGATGGCCAGAAAAACAAAAATTGACACCGCATGACCGCAATGTATTATTAATCCACTGTAGAATGCAATATCTAGGGAAAAGTGATCGAGAATCAACAATCGGTTTAGTCGGGCGTTATAATTTTAAAAAATAATATACTGTGCTTGTTATTTTATTTGTTTTTGTCTACCCCTTCCTCGCCTTCTAGTCTATACGGGGGATTAACGCCAGAGTTAAACTCACATGCATTGAGTTTATCCAATTCTGAAAGCCCGCTCGGCCACCCTGCCCTCATTGTTATTTAATTTAGTACTTTCCAGGTTGGTTTCTACAGGCTGCACCTCAAGGTGTCAGTTGATCATGATATAGTGAATCGTATCTCATCAGGTTTTCCTCTTGACTTTTCGACTTGGGTTTTTCAAGTGAGGGTCCTAGATTCAACATTGGAACGTTCTTCTTGCTGGGCCTAGCCTCCGTGATAAGTCGCCGTATATACATCTGCTTTTATTCTGCCACAAACCTAAATACTTAAAATCATGGACAGCTCCTTTCCACCACAAGATTCCCCTTACTCTGGTGTGTTACCTGCCTAATTGTATCCATTTTGATTTCTCCAGGTAAACATTCATGTTAATGCTAAACAGACCTGTTATATTGCGTTCACATTATGTTGCAGGTAGCGGTAATTGGCAGAAGTCATGACAAGGCCGTTAGCCAATGCAAGCATTGTGTAAAGAATAGGCTGTAAGTTCATACAACCGAGTTAAAAGTGCAGCAATCTAGGTTCAGAGCCAGGTCTAGAACGAATATAAACAATAGGTTTCTGAAATTGCATCCCTGCTTCGTCACAAATATTTTGGAGGGTATGGATACAGGTCCTTAAGACTGAGACTCCAAACAGGCTGGATTATGCCAATCTGTATTTACCTTTCAGCAGGACTTGTTATACCTTGTATCCTCTTTTCTGTCAAAGGTCTTCTCCATATCTACAAAGCAGATAGAACTCTTTCTGAAGCTACTGTCAACCACAAAGTGAAACTCATGTCCCGTGTGCTCCTTCTGATTTTTGATTTATGAACATGTTCATGATGCACCTCCTAGGAGTAGAAAATTCTTCTTATTCTTGATTAATCTGAATTCTTGAATAGAGGTTAATCGGCACGTTAGACATGCACATATGTTGATGTTTACTGCATTCTCTATTATCTTCTTTCTAATAAATGGAGACAAACAATATTTAGTAAATTTTCTAAGGAACCACTTGATTGGTGGTTTTTATAAAGGAATAATTTCTCCTCAGGTATGTGAAATACGCAGGTATATACTTTTTAATCCAGTTAATATTCTGAGCTTTTTGTTATTATTATTATATTTTTTATTTTTTTACAACATCAATATATGAAAACATTGAGAAAAATAATAAATTTATAATATATATAAAAAAATATATTTTTCATAGTTCAAGAGAAAATTAACTCATTATTTAGTTATTATTAAGAATTTTGGGTCGTAATAAAGCTTAGACGAAAAAACGCGGTCTAAAAAGTCTTCTTTTTTGTTTTTGTTATGGTCCAGTATAAATATTACAATTGCTACTGTGAAGCTGTGAATTAAAAAAAAAAAAAAAATCTAATTCCTCCGAATTGTTCTTTAATTTTTTTTAAATTATAAATTTCTTATTTATTTATGAAATTAATCATGAGTTTTTGTAGGCTTCTTGGTAAGAGGCGCCACCTATTAAGTTTTCTTCGAAGTTATCATCTTATAAATCTAGGAGCAGCCCCCGCGGATTTTCAGTCTTGATCTAGCCTTCCGCCTGGAAACACATAGCTCCTTACGTAAGCACCATGAATATTATTCTTGACAAATCTCTTGTGCGTAATTTGTCAATGCGTTTGTCTCGAAGTTATTATAGCAGACCCCCAACCTACAGTAGCTCCATGGCCAACTTCTCTTCGTTGAGATATGAACAACTGATTCCTGAAAACCTTGTTGAGATGAATGATGAGGAATGTTCTGAAATCATTGAAGGGAATAGAGAAAATGCTCTGGAATCTTCAAATGAGAATCAAGATCCATCAGATCCAGTTCCAGTCGAAGAAGACAATGCTACCGGGCCATGGTAAGTCAAATTCAAATATAATTTTTTTGGCCAATAATCTAATTAAAGTTAAATGATAACTGAGAGGGTAAGAAGACAAGGGGGACAAGTAATAAAATTCAAATATTGAATTATTTTCATTTAAATTATCTTTACTTTAAAAATTCTTATATGATGAAATCAGTAATATTTTTCATCCACGATTTATAATAATTGTCTAGTCTATTCTTAAAGATTAAATGTATTTGTTTCTAAGGGGTTTTTTATTTACAGCACCGTACTTCGGCACAGAGTTATAGTAATAATTTTTAAAAATTCTACTTAATGAAAGGAGTGGTGTGGCTTAAGGCACTATTCTTCTGGGACCGGGTTCGAATCCGGCTGGGGTAGATAATTATTTATTCTTATACCTGTTTGTTCTATCATGGGCTGACCCAGAGTTCTAGAGACTGTTGAACCAGAATTTGATAACAAATATATATATAAAACTGAAGTAGAAAAAAATTTAAATTTATCGTACACAAATCTTATATTTTAGCCTCTTGAGGAATCTCAAGATATAAACATGTTAAAAAAAAATTCACATTTTTCTTGTTAACATAAAAAAAGGCAAGTTTCGAATGATATTAGAAAGTTGTCTGCAAAAAAAAAATGTTTGATGTACTAGACTATGTCCACTAAATAGCTACTTTTCCATGATTTAAAACTTATTTTACACTTGACTTTCTTTTTCCAATAAATACTTGTATATATCTAGTGTCAATTTTTGCAATTTTTTAAAGGAATGGACTTGGCTTCTGGCCTCAAGAAAAAAAAAAAAAAAGTTCACTTTTAGATTTTCAGAAATGGATTAGCGTAATTGTCATTTATATTTATCCCATTTTCTGGTCAGGTGGTCGAGGGTATGCTGTGCGGCAAAACATCCGATTCCAACTCCTGTGGCTGAACCGGACCATGACAATGAAGAAGTCGTGGTCCCGGTAACTGAAGAAATGAAACGAAAGAAGGACCTATGCGTACAGAACTGGATGGAATTGATCGAATTGGATACCGAGGTGATTCCGGTCATCGAGATCCCCCCAACCCCTGAACCGATCGAGCCGAATGTAGAGCCGACGACGCCCTTACCGGTATCGAGAAGGTGTGACATCCCTATGGTCTTCAGCAGAGATGAAAAGTCTGCATTTTCTCGAGGCACCCACCAATATTATCGCAGCAGCTGGTGAGTAGCTTAACTTATTTCTTAATCATTATTGATACTCCTCTTTAATTTAAAAAAAAATATATATTGTTCTGGAGGGAAATTCACAAAATCCATCAACATTCGAATTTTACATAATGAACTTAAAATGTGTTCAAACATGTTCTTTAGACTTTGAAGTATACCATGGTCTGCTGTCAAGTGATTCCAAAGGGCTTTAAAGTAAACGTAAATAGACAGCTTTCATCTCATTGACTTATAATAATCTTTTTACGCCATAGAAATATTGTCAATACGAGCAAGTTTTCTTCTAGAAAACTCAGATGGGTGACGCCCGAACCTCAATATCATACTGCATCACAGTATATTTTAAAATACAATATTACACAAAATATTTTAAAATACAAAAGAAATGTATTTTAAAATATTTCATTACAAACACTGCCCAGCCCTGGTATTTAGTACATGAGTATTTTATATATATATATATATATATATATATATATATATATATATACTTTACATATATTTGAATTAACATAAGTTGATTAAAATTTGCGTTAGGAACGAGGAGAGAAAAAAAAAAATTCACGTAACTCATCAAACATTGTTTACCGTTCGATTCGGTACGGATAATTAAATAAAGTATGAGCTCTAATAAAATTATTGTAATAGGAATACTTAGGTGATAAACCTATGTTCAAAGAATCGATCGTTTCATACCACTGTGTTGCGTTCTAATGAATGCTCCTTTGTTCAAATAAAACAATCTTCTTTATAAGAGCTGGACCATTTAACTAATTGATAACTAGCACTCATTGATTTTTAATATTTTCTTATTTCAGGAGGTTGAAACCTTCAGTTATTGGTGCCCCTGAAACTGTGGGATACTCCGAGTGATGTTTCTGACTTAAGTTATCTTATACTTTTCTAAGACTAAGTTTTATTTACCTACTGTATGTAAGAATATATATTTATTATACCAGAAGATATTAACAGCTTAGACAAATAAGCATATATAAAAAATATGTTCAAACTTTGTAGCTTATTAACTTTAATTTATATCATTTATTCTATGTATCATAACCATTTATTTATATAATTGTCTTATAGTGCCAATGTATTGATTATAATTGTGTTTTAAAAACTGATTCTTAAACATTTATATTATTTGTAATATTTTAAACAATTACTTCAAGACATGTTTTACGTTTAGATGTTGAAATGTTTCGCAATAATTATATTATATATATTATATGTTCTCATTGTTTGATTTATAGAAAAATAAATGAAAATGCCAAATTTTGTTTCTTTATTTCTTTTTTGGTGAGATGGGATATCAAATTTATGTTTGATAAGCCACTTACTTTATCTCTTACTCATATCATTCATTCCTCCTACTTAATGGTTTCAAATTAGCAATGAAATGCTGATCCATTCTATATTAAAATTAATTAACTAATTCATATATTAATGACAAAAGATTAATATAGAAAACTGAAAGTTATAATGTAATATATCATATTATAAAATAAGGAAATCACTTCCTTCCATAATATACTTATATGGATGATTCTCAAATCAAGAATGATTTTCAACGTCTTACTTAGAATCCGCATACTGGACTGTGACGACAAGAAACTGCTCGACGTTTGAGCACTTACTAGACAAACCCTATAAACTTTCAATTAATTACAGTACACTCATCTACATGATTATAATAAGACCTGTATGGGCATTCGGAGTTAAGCTTTAGGGCTCCATCAAACCATCAAATTTCTATCGTATCAAATCCATACAATCCAAAATTTTGTACCATATTTTGTACCAAATAAATCCATCCATAAAGACCTTAATGTTCCATATGTCGCTGTTAGCCCGAGCCGGATATCTATCCTTCCATGATAAACTCTAGTCTCATCTGAATCCACCCTTTTTACTTCATCAATTCCTGATAATCCTCCTAGGCGTCTGAAAAGGAGATGGCCTCGTGATCTTCTTACCAAGTATTATTTAGGCAGCGCTACAACTGGGTCTCGACAAGTCTATTCATGTCATTATTGGTTGTATTTACCTGCAGTTGTAAATTTCAATAATTAAATAAATAAAAAAAAAAGAACGATTTTCATGATAAAAATTTAATAATTATTTCTGCATTCAAATATATATTGTTTAATGCTTTCACTAAGATGTTGCTATAGGTTGGCTAATATAATATAAATGGTCAATATCACAAGTGATTTTTTTTTTTTTTTGTTGAGAGACTTAACATTAATGTAATGGCGAACCGCTTGAATTTAATACATTATTTTTTTTATACGTAAATAAATAAAATTGGACAAAGAATTAACTGTGAGTTCTAGGGCTCTCTCCATACAGGTTCTTTCAAAACAACTATCTAACCGAAGACATTTTTTTTTTTGTAATTAAAATAATCATTGATATTAAAAAAATATCAAGCAGTTACACTTTTATTTGGCAATGACATTTTTCTAAGTCGAATTTCTATGACTTATATAACTAAAATTTTGTCATTCGAAACTACCTTAATTTATACTATTGCAAAACTTAAAGTATAAATTTAGTATTATAATATTCTGAAATAATCTTCATCCTGAAACATATCATCGAAAAACGATTGGAAATTAATGTGTACTACTTAAGGTGGTGTACAATGAAATAGAAGGAACACATTTTTTTTACTTTTGGACATAGTTCCGACTAGTAAGAAGATGCCATCTATAATTATTAATACTGTACAATTGTAGTATTATACAATTATATGTAAAAAAAAATGGTATATAAAAATTGTTGTTCACTTTGCAATCTCTCAGCTGCTTAAGTTTTCTGGAGCGAATTTACGATTATCATGTGTTACTACTAACCGTATACTGTAGGATTTAATTGATAGAGATTGATTAATTTAATGATAAAAACACCTCACCCAAAAAAATGTTAATTGTCACCAATCAAAATTTCAGTTTTTATCCTATTTTAAGTAGACTACTTATTGCGCATATTTTAAATTTTAAATATTTCATCATATATCGTCAATGCATTACTATAAGGGTAAGAAATAGAGCTATAAAAATAATTCCATTGAACTCTCATGGTCGAGAATAGTATTAAACAATATTACTCTCGGAGAAGTAGATATGTTACTCAAAATATATTTTAAAATATTATATATTTAAGTGCTGATTATAAATAAAGTACTATTTATTTATAAAAATACGTAAATGCTGGATAATATAAAGACCAAGAGCTGTAAAATAACGAAAAATACAGAAGTTAAGTCTTTTGGTAAAATGTCGGAATAAAATCATAATTGCTCTAATCATCATTAGTCGAAGAGTTGAAGATAAGATAGTAAAACAATATACTATCAAGAAAATTTATTTCGGCATAAAGAAAATATAGATATTTATCAAAAACTAATCAGCAAAACCACTTTAATTTACACTCTGATAAATATCCGAACTATCAGTGGCAGTGCAAAATGATTTCAAGAAACAAATTATAAATAAAGTAGGTTCTGCGAAATTTCATCTTATATATAAAGAATTAAATTTCCAAATCGATGATACACTTTATATTAACTAGTGTTGCCCAAATGCGAGACCAAGACGAGTCTTGGTCTTGCAAACTCAGTCTTGGTCATGGTCTTGGTCTAGCGCAAGACCATTATTACTGTATTTTTTTAGATAGAAGAAACCTAACTAAGCCCCCCTGAAAAATTAGAGGAGTTAAATGCAAAAGTATATTGGTTATACCAATTATTAACATATAGTAACTAAGATTATCGGGTATTAGTAACTATTTTTTCTTAATTTTTAGCAAGTAGTCGATTTTTTTTACCACTCCTACTCTTGGTCTTGCAAACTGCAAGACCAAAACCGATTTTGGGCAACACTAATATTAACAACCACCGAAAACAACATTTTATGAATACCATAATTAGACTCCGAAGTGAGCATTTATTCCAATGATTGATTTGAAGATGAACTGTTCGGCTCTATGTGCAACTTAAAAGAAATAGAAGATAACATACATTTCATTGGTAAATGCCCCGTGTTAAAAGAATTCCGAAATATCTATTTGGGAAAAAACATTACTTAATAGCTCTGGAGTAATGGATTATCTTAACGGAAAGGGCTGGGACAGTTTATATAAATACTGGACTATTGCATTCAAATATAGAGAACAAATGATAAACGAATTCAACTATTAATATGTGTGCATTTATTAACAGAACTTACGTTTACGTAAACATTTATGAACTGGATAATGTTGGATTAACTTATATTAATATTATTATTAATTATAATTATTGTTTATATATTGCGATATATTATTATTTATATTGCTGTATTGTTGTTTTATTGTATGTATTCGAATGTTATATCGATTTGGTATTTAGGAAATGGGAACTACGTATATGTATAAAAATAATGCCTTGCAATTTAATTATTATATATATTCAGGTATAATTTTGGTCTTCAGTTATGATAATATATATCATTGCATATTATTATTTTTATTAAAATGTAAAAGTGGCCAACCGGGCAGACGGGCAAATAGCCCGTTCGATGCTCATAATGTATGTAAGTTATCCTGTAAAGTCACAAACATTTGTCTTATCTTAGGCTTTAATAAGGCATATTATTATAATGTAATTTATTTGGTAATCGAAATAAAACACACTATTATTATTATTAGTAGTAAAATAATGTACAGGGTGCCCTGCAAGTAGAGGAAAATATTTCAGAAAAGTAGGAAATTTGAGTTTTATGTTTTATGTAAGTCACGTTTTTTTTTTCAAATAGAAAGCGATAACAAAAAAAAAAATAGTTACATAAGTAATTACCAATTGCTTTACAGTTAACTAGAAAGAATTGACTTCGAACAAAAGTGTAGTTTGTCATTGGTAAAACCATTTAATGAGGAATTTTTAGAAGATAAACTTAAGTTTATTTTCTTAAAGAAACCATAAATTATTATTTTTTTTTATCATCATCCAACTAAACAATAAATACCCCACTTTTATAAATCTTGATCATAAACGAGCTTACCAGAAGTTTTCTTCAGATTTCCCACAAGTTGTTGAAAAAAATTTGTAATTTTAAATCATATCACCTAAAAGTACCCGTATTTTCATAAAAAATGACTACAATAAATTTATTTAAACACTTTAAATACACAAATCTTAAATTTCTTAATTTTCTGCTAAAAATTGAAGAAATTTGTATATAAAATTTTGCAGTTCTTGTGGTCTGTTATGACTCCTATAAAAAATTTCTTCTACTTATGGAACACCCCACTAGCGGATCCAGGATTTAATTTTGGGGGGGCTTCAGCCCGAAAGCTTTTTTTCATTTTTTGTATATATATATATATATATATATATATATATATATATATATATATATATATATATATATATATATATATATACAAAGATAATTAATTTGAAAAAAAAAAAGAAAGAAATTCATTACCTATATCAAATGGTGTTTAAGTGTTTCTTGAAGTCCTATTTAATGTAATTATACGAAGAAGAATACTTTAAGAGATTGTTTTTAATATTTTTTTCTGTAAAATATGGTTATAATTGACCATTTTGGGAGGAACTTCAGCCCGAAAGGCCCCCTCTCCCCTCCCCCCTCCCCCCGTAGATCCGCCTGTGGAATACTCTGTATGTTTATCCAATTATTTTAAAAAGGGAGGAGCGATATAAATAAACGTTTCACGTAAGGTATTCACAGGTTTCGTGCGGCCTAGCGTATGTTAATTATCGAAAGTAATTGATATCGTTGATCTTATTAATTATAAAATATCGAAACTATATTTATTCATCAAATATGGATAAGATAAAATCATAGGATTATTAAAGCTGCATTATTGGAGAACTTTATTTCTGATTATATTCATAGATCACTCCGTATTAAATCCTATATTCTCCTAATCCTATAAATTCCTATATATTTTTTTGAGGCAACCGAAATGTGAATACACTTGTAAATTTGATTAGCAATATAAAAGTAATGAGAATAAGAGGGTATGAGGGAGAGAACCTGGGGAGAGGGAGGAGAAGAGTGTGGTAATTGCCCTAGTGGACTCTTGCCAACTCTGAAGAATTGCTAGCTTAATTGTCCACCCCCCAAGATTTCATTAGCAAGGAACGGATAGTACCTTCAGACTTCAGATCTTCCACTTCTATTTTGTACAAAGGGTTTTATTTTTTTCCATACACGTGCGCTTAGCGAGCATAATATACTATTTGGTC